TTTTAAGATATTAAATAATACTATTAATATATACTTACTATAAGTTATATATTAGATCTATAATAGGATTATTTAATATAAGTTTAGTAGTCTACTAGAGGTAGGTAACCTAGAAATACCTCTTTTTCCTATTTACTTATACTTATATAAGTAACTTAATTAGTATTAAGCTAAAAGAACTCTTTCTAGATTAGCCTTATTAGAACTAGTTACTAATACTTATATAAGGCTTAATAAATTATTATTATATAAGGATATTACTATTAATATAATCTAAGAGCTTATTATAAGGGAATAACCCCCTTTTTTTATTTTCTTTATTTTTATCTTTTTTTCCTATTTCTATATTTAAAATATAAAATATAAAATAAATAATAGTATATAATATTTATCCTTTTAATATTTACTTCTTTATATAAATTAGAAAAACCCTTTTATCCTTTAATATTACTAGTATATCCTTTTATATAATAGTACTAATAGTATTACTCTCTATCTTACTAGCTACTTTATCTATAAGCTTTATTAAGCTAGGTAAATTACTAGTAATAAAGGGAGCTTATATAATCTCTTACTTAATATTAAGCTTTAAATCTAATATATTTAGCCTTTAAGTTATTATTTTCTTTATTAATAGCTTTATTTTATAGAATAGAGCTTATAAATTAATATAAACCCTTTTTACTATATATAAACCTATTATTAGTTACTTTTAATTATCTAGATATATTATTAAAAGATTAATTATAATCTTTTTATCTAATTAATTATATCTAAATACTATTAAGAGCCTTTTAATTATTATTATTTACTAAATACTAGTATAGTAATTAATAATACTTAAAGGGGATTCTAGAATAATTATAGCCTTAACTTCCTACTCTTTATTTAATAATACTAATAATATAGGATTAATACTATCTAATATAATTAATAATAGTATATCTCTATATAACTAGTATTTAAACTATAGATAAGTATATTACTATAATATATATTTACTAATATAGTTTAGACTAGATATTATCTAGGGTATTAGAATATTCTTAATATATTTATTTTTAATTATAGTATTAAATAGCTAAAGTATAAATATAATACCTTTATTATTTATTTTTAGTTAAGTTATAATAGAACTAACTTATCTTACTTATATACTATTTAAAATAGTACTTTATATTATAACCTAACTATTAATAAAAAGGCTTTAAAGTATAACTTAAGTTAAAGGTATATTTATATTATTTATTAAGTTAAGTATAATAAGGTCTTTATTATTAATTATAGTTAACTTTATACTTAAAATATTATAATTACTTAGAAAGGGCCTTTAAATAGTTTCTTCTATAGGTAGTAGTAATTCTTATATAGATAGATATAATATTAAGTAATAATAAAGATATATATCCTAGTCTAGATATTATTATACTAACTCTTAATACTATATACCTATCTTTAGGTAGTATTTCTCTATTATAATAAGTATTAATATTAATTAAAGAAAAAGGGTTATATAAAGTTTTTTCTTTTATATATAAACTATTACTACTTATATCTAGCTATAATATTTAATAAAGTACTAGTAAATATACTTAAATATATATTTAGCTATATTTTACTTAAATCCCTACCTATTTAATAAATACTATAGTAATCTATTATTATTATACTTATATAATATTATATATACTTATTATATTTAGTATATCCTCTTATATAATAAGAGAATATAGTTTAGCTATAACTATTATTAGTTAATAATATATATAAGTAGTATTATATAATACCTCTTAAAGAGTATTAGTATACTTAAGAGGAGTATATATAGTTTATATATATATTCCTAGCTAGCCTTTAAAGCTAGATATAGCTAATAAAGATATAACTATAATTTTAATACTTTAAGTAAGCTATCTTATATTCTTTACTATAAATATAGATAATTATTACCTTAATATTTTAAATATATAATAGATTTAATAATTAGCCTTATTTATAACTATATATTAGTATTAAATTTAGTTAAAATAGGTATATAGGTATAGACTATTTATATATAGTATTAAGCTATTTATTTATAAGAATATTAGCCTTTCTAAGTACTTAAGCTATTAACTTTTTAGTATTATTAGGCTAAGCTATAGAAGCTATAATAACTAGTAATACTATATTTATAATAATAATTAGTATAATAAAAAGAGTTATAGATTTATAAAATATAATTCTACTAGTAAATAGTATATATAGCCTTAAATTATATTCTATATTATATAAATATAGATATTAATATATTAAAAATAATTATATATGCTCTTAGCGTATGCCTAGTGTGTAAACCCCGATATAAGCATATAAAATGCGTTTTAGCGATAACTCACCTATAGGCTGCCGTACTGGAGGGATCTTCCCACCAAACTGTTCACCTCCCGTTGGCTGCTGACCAGGTATTAATTAATAGTGGATGGTCGAGTTCGTGGCCCTTCTCTCCTCTCTCCACCCCGGGCTCTCGCCAAGTAATCTCCCCCGCTTAAGAGGAATGGGGTATTTGTTGCTCTCGTCTACTGATAGCACCGGGTCCAGAACGGAGAACTCGTTATCCGTCCATTTTTATTTTATTTTTTCTTTCACAGTATCAACAGCAGACTAAAAGCTCTTAGCAGGTCGCATGTTTGTGTAGCATTCAGTCGGCATCCTCCCGTCCGAGGCATAAAAGCTGCCTTGCCAGGGTCGCAGCTGAAAAAAATAGGCGAAAAAACCCCAGCATATCGGGGCGAGCGAGGCAGAAACGGCACGAAACCAAGCCATTACTTACTCAGATAAACCCAGCGTCACAATTGGGCGCTATGTTTGGTCAAGTGAGCAGTTTCTAGTTACGCCCTGCAACCAGGGCAAGCCACCGGGCAAAAGAAGCCAGGCGGCAGGCTGCATTCCAGCCCTTTGACCGGAGCCGGCCTAGCTCCGTCGCTAGTTTATTACCCGTGTGTTTCTTTTTTTTTTCTTCCTATTCATGCCCTAACTAATCATTGGTGCCTGCCAATTCTGCCAAGCGGAAAGGGACCGACAAAACCAGCACAAAAAAACAGCCTTTCTTGTATCTACTAGCCAAGGCGCCAACTTTAATGCTCTGCAGCGCCTCGCAAGCCATGAAAATCCACTTTTGCGGTTACAGGCTTACGTTGCAGGCCAACAGGCGTTATTGTGCCAAAACTCTGATGCGCTTGCGCCGCGCCCTGTTCCCCCCCGTCTTTCTGCGCAGAAACTGGGACCAGGGCTAACCTCCAAGCACACGGACGCTAAAGATAAACAAAACTTAAGCTTTTCACTTTTCGTTGGCAGGGGTTTATCAGAGGGTTTTGGAAGGCCTTCCAGAACAATGGCTTGGGTCGCTCCACCCCGCACTTCTGGTGACTTGGCGCGCACCATCCGCCTCGTTGTCTGATGCCCGATGGCTTGCTGTTTACAATGGATGACTCGCGGAGCCAAGTGTCCCCCTGGTTGCGGGAATTACAAGACTGAGATGTGACTACGCTACCAGCCTCGTGATGGCATCGTCGTTTTCCGTGGCCCTTGACGATCCGCGTTGTTTTCGCAGTGGATGAGATGTGATGACAAAACTCAGCCGCAACGGCCTCGTTCTACTTATTGGAGACCAATGCGGGTTGAATTCATTGGGCGTTCAGCTGTTTTCAATGGTTGGCAATTCATTAAATAAATAAATAAATGGTTGGTAATTTACCCCCAAGCGTCAACTGCCGGGACGACGAGAACGGTATTGGCAAGTGGATACCTACCCCATGGGGCAAAGAGGGACGTGAAACGTAGTTATTACTGGTAGAATACAGCAAAGAAGCGAAAAAAGAAGAAAAATTCCATCACATGTACCTGCCACTTTGTTATTTTGCCTCGAAAAGTTGGATGCCGTGTCCAAAAAAATCGGAACCGGAAGCTCCAATCCGTTTGCCGGATGACGACAGAATCTGGAGGGACCTAGCAACTTGAGAGCCTCACAAGAGCAATGCGTGGCGAGTGATCAGGAAAGACCTTGTAGCGAGTTAATTGACTGAATTACGCACATAATTATATGACTGGCTAGCAAAGTCGCCAGGAATTGATGCAACGTTAGGACGAAATCTCATCCTCCCATGATGAGCAAGATGCCTCCACGAAAGATGCCAAATAGCATCATTTGTCAACCAACGAGGCGACGGATGCACTCCACAATTCAACTAGGCTTACACGGGAACGACAAGTCGTTGCGAGAACACGCGCTTCTTTGCTTGCATAACGACATGGTATGGGGTATCTGGGTCCCCCCCAAAACTGATCATTCACACAACTCCGTCGTAGCTCAAGCTTCTCCGCAGAGGCCCGTGACAGATGGCGAAAGACGGCGGGTCTAACCAAGAGTCGACGTAGTCGAGAAAGAGTTTGGGGTAACGAATAGCTGTCGGGACAAAACCCAATTCCCCCCTCATCCCCAGCCAACTTCCCGTCACAAGTCGTCTGTCTGTATGGCGCCCGCTGCTCAAAACGGTAATACGAATGATGGCCAAGACTTGGCACTTTATTCTACGTCAAGGCGTGACCAACGCCGGCTGACAAGGTAATTATTTCCCCAATGTCAGTTCCGACCAAGAAAAAAAACGCAAACATCGGTTTGCGGCGCCAACACGCGTGCAGCAGCCCCAGTTCGTTCTCCGACTGCTTGCTTCCGTGAAGTGGGTCGCCGACTCTGGGGTTCGTCGTTCGTCGGCGACCTTTCCGAGCACCAAAAAGGCGGTCGAGATATTGGCCCGGGACCATTTTTGCTTGGGGGGGGGGGGGGGGGTCGAATTCGTGACAGTAACAGAGCGAATCCTCCGTGACGTATGACGTAGAACCAACCGCTGCCGTTGCTTTCTACAAAGTTCGCTTGCCCTACGTTGTCAGCCGCAAAGACCGAAGGGATCGCGCCTATTCTACGGGTGGGTTTCACATATATAGGTGCAAACGTGAAACCAGTGCAAGCGCGGATGATTGCAGGAAAGACGGAGAAAGGTTTCTGTATAAATCTCTGACAAGCCAGATGGCGGTTAAAGTACACATATTTGCATCTTTTCACAGCCGCTCCTCCGTCCCGAACCAAAGAAAAGCACAATTTCGTCATGCTTTCCTCTCCAGCACATCAAAGAAAAACACCCGTTGCTCTTTCATTTATGAGAATGAAAATCAAGGCTCAGTACCGCTCAACGCCGCCACTTCCGCATGGGGCGGCGCCTCAGGGTTATGAACCCATAGCCGCCAAAGTCTGCATCGCAAAGTCCATGGGAAAAACAGGGCAGCGACAAAAAGTCTCATATCCCAACTGGTCATTTTTTTTTCCACCAGTACCTTGCCAAGAAAAAAAGAAGAAAAAAAGAAGAAGAAATGCCGCGCAAGAGATGGCCGATCAACCGAGGTTGACAATGCGGCAAGCCAAGACTGGGCGCCCATTAGCCCGACAGCCGCCGTCATCGGGGGCGTATTCACCAAGACTCTCGGCAGGGGCGTCATGGATGGTGTGGCGGAAGGGGCGGCTTGGCTGCCGCGCCTCCCGCGAGACATCATACCGATACCAGATCGATTCCTCATCCAGCCTCGCACACATGTGTTCCCGTGTATTCCCACAAAGTCCACAGCACATGTCATGAACAAACAGCATCGCAGACGCATCAATGATAGAAATGCATGCAATTGAACCAGGTGTCTACTGGTCGCTGGGTACTATATGACAACCATCAAACTATGCTTTCCCAAGAGCTCTTGTTATTCCTGAGCGAGCTTCGTGATGTTGCCACTGACAAAAAAGAAAACCCCCACCCCAAGTACCAAAATCAGAAACATTCCAAAATCAATTCGCGAGCCTATTTACGGTGTGACCAAAGAGGGTGCCTTCTTTATTTATTTTTTTATAATTTGCTATCGTTTTGTTTTTGGCTTCAAGAGCGGCTTTAGTTGTCGTAGCCGGCGCCGCGCTGCCAGGGGCTGCTCGAATTTTGCTGTCGCGCGTTTCGGGTAGGACCGTTGGGATCCAGGCTCGGGCTTGGGCGCCCTGAAACCGAGGGCGAAGGCGAGTGACGGCCAAACGAGCGTTGGGACTGGTTGTTGAGGGAGCCCAGGACGTGGCTGTGGGGCTTGGGCTCGAATTCTTCACTATCAAACATGCGCGACTTGTTGTCACCGCGAGCGACGGCGGCGAGGTCGTCGAGCTGGTTCGACTTGTCGAGCTGCGTGTTGGACTTCATGAACGAGGCACGGTCGTCGCCCATGTACTGGTAGCGCGAATCGGGGTTCTTGCGGAACACGGCAAAAGCAGTCGAGACAATGACCATGAGCAGCAGGACCAGGGAAAAGGCAGCGTTGAGGACGAAAAGTATGACGCCAAAAATACCAACGACGAGGGCGGGCGCATCAAAGACGTTGGTATAGATGAGCAGGCAGATGGCGTTGATAAAGTTGACGACGCAAATCATAATGTTGAACGTGTTGGTGGGCTTGTCCATCCAGGGGCGGATAACGCTCGCGCCGATGAGCGCAAAGGCTTCGAGGAGAATAAAGGCGATAGCCTGGGTGATGCCGCTCTTCTGGGCCACGGCAACGAAGAGAGCCTTGATAAACGTGTAGGCGAGCAGCGGGGCGATAAAGTAATGAGACGACGCGCGGAACTGGATGTAGAGAAAACCCCATTTGTTAATAACATTCGGGTCAGCGAACAAGATATAGGCGGGGTTGCTGTGGTGGCTGACGGAGCGGCGAGCGATGGTAATGACTTTCCAGGTGCCGAAAGCCAGGGTGGTGATGGTGGCGACAAGGAAGAAGACAGCAAGGACAACCTCGGCAGCAGAGTCGGCCTGGGTGAATTCCCAGAGGCAGAAGACGGTGACGAGAGGGAACCCAAGCAGGGTAAGACGGAAGACAATGCCCTTGAGGACGGTGATCCAGCCGTTGCGGAACTCGAGGAAGCGATCGCCCTTGACAGTACCCTTTTTGGCCAGAAGCTCGAGGATGCCCTTGTAGGCGGCGACAACGAGCGAGGTAAAAAGGACCAGGACGCAGAACCAGGTAATGGTGGTCATAAAGAGGTTGGTGGACTCAATCTTGGAGCGGAAAGCGACACGCTGGATACCGTACACCAGGTAGGTTCCGGAGCCGGTCTTGATGTTGCCACGGCGGGCTAGAGCAGCCATCTTTTCGGGCAACATGTCGCGACCGGCAAGATCGAGACCACGCTTCTGTACCTGAACGGAGTAGGTGCGAATGGAGTCGAGAATTGTGGACGGGGTACCACCAGTAGAGCGCTGGTACCAGGTGAAAATGTCCTGCATAAAGCCGAGTCTGATGATGCCCATGGTCCACTGAAAGTCCTGGGTCCAGGCGCGAACAATGGGAGGGAGCTTGACGGCAGTTAGGCCAATCATGGCCTGGCTCTGGAAATAGCCAAAGAGGGAGAGAGAGTTGGCGGCAACGTGGGAAGCAGCGTTGGCGTGGCCGAGACTGTTGAGGACGGCAGAGGAAATGAGGGCAAGGAAGGCAATGACAGCCGTGGCCCACTTGACACCGATTGTGTCGACAGTCTTCTGGTTGGAGATGTTGGCCTCGAGGCAAGCCACCTCGTCGTCGCCAAGCATGACGCGGACCTTGGCGGTAGCATCGAGATCGGGAATTGAAAAGGCGATGCCGGGGATAGGAGCACTCTTGCCAATGTCAAGACGGAAATCTTGGGGGGGCTTTCCGACCTGCATAGGGCACATGCCCTTGAGTTCTTCGACGGTGCAAGGATCAACGGCCCTGTTATCGATGATGGGATAGCCATAGGCCGCGACGGTGACGTAGAAGATGACCTTGCCCGAGATGGTTGAAGTGGCCGTCATGCTGATGTCGGCGAAACCCGTGTCGGCATCATACTTGACGTTGAAGAGACTGGCAGTAAAGCCAGACGCGGTAGAGCAGGTGTCGAGCGAGTTGGAGACGAGAATGCGCGCGGCATCAACGGCGGGCAGCAATGTGGCAGCGTAGCCCAGGGCGGCGAGGGCGGCGCGGCGACAGGACACCATGGTGGGCGGCGGGCGGCGGGCGGTCGGGTATCGAGGGTATTGATTCTGGTCAAAATCTAGGAGTAGAAATTGAATCGCGAAATGCGCATCGCAAGACGGTCACACGGCGATGGGATGGACGATGAAATGCCGCGGTGGCGATGATGGACGAGGCAAAAGTAGCACTGGTGGGAGCGTCGCCGGGCCAGATGGTTGCCGTTCGAAAAGTATCGGGAAGCGGGTCCTCCACTGGTATAGTTTGCGATGTGACGATTTGACGTGCGGTCGGGCGCGCGCAGGGGTAGGTAGTCGACCAGGTTATAGGCGTGAGGAGGAGGAAGGAAGAAAAAAGGACGATAAAAGGGAAAAGCGAAAAGCGAAAAGCGAATGGATAGGGTTGAAGCAAAGGAAACGAGGATGAAACAAGGAAGAGAAGAAGACAATGAGGAAACGATAGGAAGGGATGGAAGGGAACAAGAAGTGGTGCGTCGGAGGGAAGATTGACTTTTAGCGGACGAGAGGGTGGGAGGACCAGAGACCAGTGGCCACCAATCCGTCACTGGACAGTGGACACTGACTGTTTCCGGCTAACTACGAGGTTGCAGGTTGCAGTGGCTACGAGCGCTGTAAGCTTGGGGGCCACTCGCTATAATGGGGATGCAGTTGCTGCGATGAATCATCCAAATCGCTGAAAGAATGCCTGCAGCAGTACCTGTTACGGTGGTCTTTTCAGTACATACTTCTCTCAGGTACTAAGTAAATGTATAGTGCTGTTGGCCGAGACAACCATCCTGGAACATACCTGCAACATCAAGGACGCGCCAGCTCTCCGCATTTCTCGCTCTTCCAGCCAGAGGATAAAATATGCAAATCCCCCTCTATTCAACTATTTGTCTCTGCCCCTGCGTCCTTCTCTGCCTTCCCTTGCCTTGCACTGCCCGCCTTGTTTCTAGCGCTCCCATCCGCGTCGTCCCAGTGCGTATAGGTTCCTATTTTAAGGCCCCCGGGCCCCACTCGCCGTCACTGCGCTAGCCCATCTCGGCAAAGTCCCTCCTAGACGGAACACTCTCACCAGGTCAACTGAGTTATGGGTGGCAATCCTGTCAATACGGATGGCGTTTATTAGTGTTAATCACCGAGCAAGTGCCAATTCTTCGCTGTGTGGTAGCTGACGTAGTGCCCGCAGCCCATTTTTCATCTTAGACGTGCATGAGGTTGCGAGCGCACGCCAGCCGCAGCTCTTCTACAGGATGACATGTCTGCAGCTCGTCTCATAGCATAAGAGCCAAGGCCATGCCTCTTTCACAAGTGCCAACAGCAAACAAGCCGAGACCACTACGCATTCTGCACTCTGTGTAATGTGTACAAATTACACAGTCACAACCACGCGCTGCTGGAATACGAACACCACCCCACCGCCTTGTATCAACCACAAAAACTCTTTCTGTCGCTTGTACGCGTGGCCGATGCCCTACTTGGCACTAGCACACCACAGCCAGTCAGCCCTTTGTTAGCATCCGATGCGCCATCTTGCGAGCAGTTCCTGAAACACTTGGCTACCGAAAACATGATGAGCATCGCCCGGCAAACATCTTGCTGATCAGCGCGCTCAGTATTACTACATAGATTTCTGGCCTGCCGACCAACCGAAGGGGTCGCCCATCGGCACAGCCACTGCTAGCTCCATGTGCCCCAGATTTCCCGTGCCGGATCCGCCATGACAGGAGGCGAGTTGTACTTACTCCGTCACTTCGGTTCAACTTTTGGCTTTTTAGTAAACCAACGTGACAAATAATAGAGAAAAAAGTCCCTTGGCGTCTTGGATTCCTCACTTTCTACATTGATGTCGCCCCTCTGGAACAATGCATCGAGTCGCGAAAATTCATTCAAATTTGAACCTATAGGCTCCATCACAGCTGACTTCTTGGTATATTGCCATGGGCCCGCCGAGTTGCTTTTATACTGTTAGAATCAAGGTGTATTTAAATAATAACAAAAGCAATAATAACGTCAATTTAGTTCCTAATAATTAAGATAATCTAGATAACTCTAATATAAACACTACCTTCCTTAATAGCTAAGATTAATAGGTCTATAGCCCTTAAAAGTAGGTCTCCTACCTATATACTAGCTAATAAAAGGCTAGCTTTAAGTTACCTACTTATATAAAGTTAATACTTATACTCTCTCTTTTTATAGCTTTATAAATAGGCCTAATTTACTTAAAAATATAATAAAAAGCTATTCTTCTTAGTATTATTATTATTAAAGCTTTATTTTTCTATTTTAGGCCTTTCTTAATTAATTAAGGCCTTTTTTTCTTTTTATATATATACTTTTTTCTTAATAATTCCTTTAATACTTTAATCTTTTAATAATTTACTTCTTTTAGCTTATTTTTATATTCTACCTATCTCTTTATTTATATATTTAACTTATTTAATTTAATAAGGCTTTATATTACTTAATTTAATAATACTTTTATTATAATATTAGTTAGGTTATTATTATTATTAATCTATTATAATTTATAGACTTCTTTTCTTTTATATAATTAATAAAAAGCTATAATATTAATTATTAGCTATTTTTTTTTAGTTATTTTAAGCTTAATAAGGTATTTATATAATAATAAGGAGTTAATATAGATAATTATTAAGATCTTTAGAATATTTAATTCCTTTATAATTATATTAATTATTAAGCTAATAGTATATTTTATATTTATTTTTATAATTATATTATATAATTTTAATATTAAAGCTAATCTTATTACTTTTTTTAACTTTATTAAGCTTTAAGTAATAATATTTCTTTTAAATATAAATTTATTATTATTAATTTATTCTTTATTACTAATTATAATAATATAATCTATTTAGAAGCTTAAATCCTTATTATTAGTAAATAATTTATTAATAAAGATAAATATCTTTATTTTTTTAAAGTTTATTAGGATATATTAAATACCTTTTTCCTAATTATCTATTTACTACTAGATTCTTATTCCTAGCTTTTTAAAGTCTTTCTCTTTAGGTTATTATTATTATATAGTTATAAAAAGGTTAAATACTACTTCTAGCTAGTAGATACTAATAATATATACTTTTTAGGCTTTTTACTAAGTATACTTTTCTTTAGTTAAGGGTATTTTTAGTTTCTTCTTTTATTTATATTAGCTTATAATAATTATACTATCTTCCTTAAAGTCTAAGTAATAGTTATTAAAGAATAATAGGTTTTTTATTATTAGATTATCTTTTAGCTTTATAATAATACCTACCTTTAATATCTTTTTATCTTCTTTTTTAATAAAGCTTTTATTATTTAAAATAAGTATATTATCTATTTAAAGGCCTATAATTCTATATTCCTCTTTATTTAAGATAAAGAGGTATAGGTTAAATATTAAGGTAGCTATACTTAGTTATTTAAGAAAATACTTTAAGTATATTATATACTAGTAGTTACCTAATTCTAAAATACTATAAAAAGGCTTTAGAACTATTATAATTATACCTTATAGGTATTAATACTATAGTTATTTTAGTAGCCTTATTAGAATTATTCTATTTAGTATTATCTTTAATTAAGTATATACCTAGGTAATATCTTTAAACTAGATTTACTTCTTAGTATTCTTTATCTTATTATATCTTTTACCTCTTTCTTTAATAATTAAAGAAGTAATAGTAATAATAATTCTTTAACTTAATTATTAAATTATAAATAATACTATTAAAATTAAGGCTTTATCTTAGTTATTAAAGCTATAAATTACTATTCTAGACTTTTTATACTTCTTCTTAGTTCTTTTACCTTTAATTTTATTAATAAGCTTTAAATTAAAGATTTATATACCTTTATAAACCTTAAGGTTAAATTCTATAAATTTAAATATACTAATAGCTATTAAGCCCTTAATTTCTACCTTATTTAACTATTTAAATAGTATACTAGGTATTATAATAATTCTAGCTTTATATAATTTAACTACTAGCTTATAATTACTCTTTTCTTTTATAAAAAGGTATACTTTAAAGTATATAGTATTTTCTTTATTTATAGTTTTTATTATAAAGATTTTATAGCTACCTTTATTATTTAGGTAATCTATATACCTTTTAAATTCTATATTTATTAAATAGGCTTTATATTTCTTTATTAGTTTACTTTTTATTAATTTTAATAATCTCTTTATTATTATCTTTTCTACCCTTCCTTTTATAATCTTATCCCCTTTAAAGAGGTTTAGACTATATAGCTAGGTAAAATTTCCCTTTTCTCTAGCTTAAAGACCTTTTATTATTTATTATTAGCTAGGCTAAGCTAGCTAAGACTAGATATTAATAAGAATTATTATTTAGTATTTAGTCTAATTATTATATTTAATAATATATACTAGTTTTAATCTTATTAGGTTATTTTCTTTATTCTTTTTATTTTTAAATTCTTTAATATTACTAATAAAGGCCTAGTCTTTATTAATATTTTAATTAAAAGCTAGGCTTATAGTATTTTTATTAAAGGCCTAGCCTTTATTAAAGTCTTAATTAGAAGCTAGGCTTATAATACTACTAGGAAATACCTAGCCTTTTAATTTTATAATTTCTTAGCTAGGTTATATAGTAATAGCCTCTTAATTATACCCTAATAGTACTAATAGGGCTTTATTAATATCCCTATTTTTAAAGAGGTTTTTAGCTACTATTTTAAACCCTTTTTATACTTTACTTTTACCTTTATTACCTCTCTTTTTATATTCTACCTTAACCTTCTCTATCCCTTTTTCTTTTATCTTATCCTTCTAGAAGGGATAGACTACTATTAAATAGAACTTTAATAGTCTTTTTAATATCTTAATAATATAGGTTTTACCTTTTATTATAATTATTTTAAATAAGCTTTACTATCCTTTCTTTTTATATTATATAAAGATATTTAATTATAAAGGTAGTTAATAAAAAAGGCTTATATTTAGATTATTTCTTTAAGCTTATACCTTCTTAATTTAATACTTTTAGTAAAGAATATAGACTTTTATTATTACTTTTTAAATTACTTTACTTTATTTATAGGTATCTAGATAAAGAGGTAATTAGTAAGATATTTAAGGGTATATACTAAAGACTAATAATATTAAGATAAGGCTATTTAGGCCTATTATATTATTAATAGCTTTAATAGCTATTTAAAGGATTTAGTATTTATTTATAATATTATTAATATTATTTTTAATAACCTTAAATACTTAGTAAAAGATATTATAATACCTTTCTACTTTTCCTATATTATTATAAGCCTTAACTAGGATAGCTTAGATTTAGATATAAAGGCTATTTATATAGTATTTAAATTTAATAAAAGTAAAGTTCTTTTTAGTATTATAAATAATCTAGTTAGGTAGGCTAATATATATATTAATCTAGTATTTTAGAATTATATTCTATATATTCTTTACCTTCTAATCTTAGCTTTAAAGGAATCTTATAGCTTAAAAGGTTATTACTAAATTAATAATATAGAGAACTAGCTTATTATTAATATAATAAATATCTATTATAATCTTATAATTAAATTTATAATTATTCTTAATTATAAAGTAGAATTAGCTAAAGGCTTTTTAGTTTAGTTAGTAATTCTTATATATCTTTATTATTTTCTTTAAGGTATTAATATTAAAGTCTTTATTAGTATACTCTAGAATATTACTTAAGTAGTAAGCTAATAGGTAGCTAAATCTCTAATATAGTTACCTAAGCTTTTATTTTATAAGGTAGAAGGCTATTATTAAAGCTAGGCTTAGTAGCTAGAATAGGTACCCCTATTACTTAATTATTAGGATAATAATATTACCTTTAATAAAGGTGTTTATAAGGTTATTAAATTAAATACTAAGTTAATCTATATCCTTAAGGGATATTAAAAAAGGGGTTAGTATTAAAAGGACTTAAAATTTAAGGTTACTAATAGCTATTTATAGCCTAATAATACCTAGTAGTATAACTAGGTTTATTCTACTAAAAGATATTATCTTTATAATTCTATTATTCTACTTAATTTAAACTATTAATATAATTTTTATTAGTACTTAAGTTTATAGTATACTAGTACTAAATTAACTAGCTACTCTTATATTAGGTAAGATGCCTTTAAATATACTTAATAGGTATTTTTCTTTAAAAATAAAGACTTAGCTATCCCTATAATCTCTTTATTTTATAGGGTTTTTTTTAATATAAAAGTAATAAATAGTATTATTAGCTAGCTTAGCTAGTATATCTTTTAATAATAACTTAGCTTTTATTACTATAAAGTATTCTATTATAAAAAAGGTTAATACTAAGCTATAGGCTAACTATTTACCTTTATTTTTATTATTTATCTCTTCTTTTTTACCTTAGTTATCTATATTTATATAGAATTAATTAATTACTTTTTAGATATTATTAATCTCTTTATTTCCATCTATTATCGTATACCTAGAATCAGTATATACTTATAATAAGCCTATAATATTGATAAAATTAATAAAAAGTAGGTAAGAAGTAAAATAATATTAGGCTTAGCTTAGAAATAATACTAAATAAAAGCTATACTATAATTAAGGTAGGTAGTAGTAAAAAGACTACTAAAGATATATCTAAATATATTAAGACTAATAAAACTTAACTAACTAAACCTAAGGTAATACTTACTTAGAAGAAACCTAAAACCTAATTAACTATTATAAAAAAGCTCCTCTTCTTAATAAATAAAGATAATAAGCCTTAGGTAGAAGCCTTTCTAGAATAGTTATAGATATATATTAGCCTTAAGTTAAGACTACCTATAACTATTAAAGTAATTTAGAATATTATAAAAAAGATAATTATATAGCTAAACTTTATATTAAAGGGAATCTATATAGATATAGTATAAAAAGGAACCTAAGGAGATACCTAGGTAAAGCTAGTCTTAGCCTAGTATAATAAAGAATTAATTATTAGTATTAAAGACTATTAGACTAAAGTATAGGCTATAAAGCTAATAGAGGTAGTTATAATAGTAAACTAATCCTTTTAAGAGGATACTATAGTAGCTACCTATTAGCTTCTATTTAGAGATATAGTACTTTTATTCTATTAAAATATAAAGGTATTTATAAATAATATATACTAGGTTAAGGATATATTTAGACTAAAAGTATAGCTATCTTACTATATATACTTAATAGTAGTAAAAGGTATACTTTTAATTAAAATACTAAATAATACTACTAACCTTACTATTATACTAGTAGTATTTAATAAGGCTAATATAGTTATAACTAAAGTATACTACCTTTAGGCTAAATCTAGTATAAAGGTATTATTAGTTATTAGTATTTATAATATAATTATAGCTAATTAACTATATTAATAAGGTATTTACTTTAATTTATAGGTATTTAAGTATAAACCCTATATAGAATTAGTCTAGACTACCTAGTACTATAAATATTATAGGTTTAAATATATTATATAATTCTATATAGTAAAGATAAATAAGTATAGCTAGTATATAGGCTAAGCCTATACTAATATAGAGGTATACCTAGCTACTATTAATATATTAAAGGAATTATATACTAACTATAAAGAAAGGTATTTAGTATAGTTTAAAGACTACTTTATATAGTAGGAGTATTAGATCTAGGCTTAGGAAGCTTATTACTTCTAGCCTACCTAGTTTAAAACCTATTAGCTAACTAAATATAGGCTTTAAAGCCTAAAGGCTTCTTTATTACTTAAATAAGTTATTAGTAGCTTATAGCTATAGAGAAGACCCCTTAAAACTAAGTAAAGCTTAGTAAAGAGACTAAATATATTATAATTAAATATAATATAGTTTCTCCTAACTAAAGGTAATAATATACTACCCCCCCCCCTATTACTATAAACCTTAACTAGATAACCTATAATAGTAATAATAATAGTATTAGTCTTAATACTAACTACCTTTAAACTAGCCTAGCCTAGATAATAGAATAAAGATCTTTTTATAGAATATTTATAAAAATAATAATAATATCTAAGTAACCTTATACTTCCTTAATAGTCTAGATATTCTAGCCTTTTAAGAAGTAGTATTAGGCTAACCCCCTTTTACTTTAGCCTTAGTATTATACTAAAGGCTTTAAGGGGAAGGCTATATTATAACTTATATATATAAAAGATTATTAAAGGATCTTTAAGATATTACTTTATTAAAGGATACTTATTATATTTAATTCTTCTTTTTATTACTAGTTATTATAAATATCTATATTAAACCTAGGTTAAACCTAGTTATTTTCTTACTTAGAGTAGGAGTAGGTAAGCCTATATTAAAAGCTATAGTAAAAGACTTTAATATTTACTATTTAATATAGGACTTTTATAAATAAGAGTTTAATACTACTAAACTTATAATAAAGTATATAAATAGGCTTAAGGCTAGGCTAGTTATACCTTTTAAAATAAGTATATAATATAAAAAGGATAAATATTTAAATATAATTAACTTACTTTAAGCTTTTTTTTTTTAAGAAGGTAATATAGTATTATACTATAAAGCCTAACTAGGTTTAATTATATCCTTTAACTATTAATACTAAATATATATAAGGAAGTAAAACCTTTATAAACTAAAAATTAGAAGAAGATAGATAAGGATATTATTACTATTAAGGTAGTAGCCTAGCTCTAGCCTTTAAATAAGGTAATACTTTATAACCCCTTTAAGATTAAAGTAGTATATAGATAGTTAATAATAATTATTTAAGATATAGTCTAACTAGCTATTCTTATTATAGCTTTAACCTAGTTATAGTAATTACTATAGTAGAATTAGGAGGTAGTAAATATTATTAATAATATAAAAAAGGTATAATAGATAGTATAGTATATAGGAGTACTAGTAGATTAAGAATATATAGTTAAGGTAAAAATAGCCTAGGTAAAGACCTTATATAAGGCTAGGCTATAGAGCTAGAGGGAGTACCTAGATTCCTTAAAGGATATATCTAGGCTCTAGAGGTATTTCTACTAAGTAAAAGGATATATAGCTAGATATACTTTTAATATAATACTAATCTTAACTAGATTAGATAGTAAGATAGTTATTATATAAGAAGAGAAAGTTAATATACTTAATTAGAAGTTCTTCTTAAATATTATACTATTTAACTAAGAATAGCCTAGGCTTAAGGTAGAGTTATAAGGAGTAAGCTAGGATATAACTAAGATCTTTAAGCTAATTACTAAAGAGGAGGTTATAATAATACTTAGGGGGTATATAACCTAGAATACCCTAGGGCTAGATAGGGTTCTTTATAGGTTCTTATAGGCCTTAAGATTACTACTTTATTAAGTTTTAGTTTTACTTTATAATACCTTACTTAAAGCTAGTTACTTTCTATTTTAATATAAAGCTAGTACTACTATAGTCTTATAAAAGCTAAATAAGTAACTAGAGGACCTTTATATAGCTAGGGAATAGTAATCTATTACCTTTCTTAATACTATAAGTAAACTTCTTAAGAAGATTATAGTAAATAAGATTATAATTATAATAAAGTTAAACTAGCTTTTATTTAATAGCTAAATAAGGAATAGGTAAAAAAGGTTAATTAAGATTACTATTATTATAATTTTAAAAATAGTTAAATTAGTATAGGCCTAAGGTAATACTATATTATTACTATAGCTAGATATTATTAGTACCTTTAATAATATTAATTATAACCTCTTTATCTAGATACTTTAATAATAGGGTTTTCTAGCTAAGGTATTAGGCCTAATATAGTCTTTTTTAGCTAATAGGTTAGCCTAGTTAAGGCTTAATAGTAGCTTAATATAGGCTAGGTTAGTCTTTTAAAAGGTACCTTAAGGATTACTATTTTTACTAATTCTTTTTATCCTTTTTACTAGCTTACTATATACTACTTTTAAGATAGTACTAGGCTTAATAATAGTTAGGTTTATAAATAATACTAACCTATTTAGTATTAAACTAAATATAAATATAATAATCTTATAATTAGAATAAAGATAGGAGATATATAAGGAGTAGTTAAAGGTTAATAACTTATAGTTCTTTATATTAAAGTTTAGTCTTATATACTTTTAGTATAGCTAAGGCCTAGACCTAGGCCTAATTTAGCTTAATAATATATTAGTTTATTTAAAATAGGAAACCTAACTTCTTAAAGTCTAGCTAATATTAAACCTAAAGTAAAAGAAATAACTCTAAATAGTTAAGAACTAAGTAGTAAGAGTAGCCTAGGCCTTAAGTATAACTATTAAGAAAGCCTAGGGGTTTAAGGTTAAAAATATATAAAAGCTATACTTTTAAGGTATTAAGCCTATTATAATATTTAGTTTAGCTAGTTAGTATATACTAAAGAAGAATAAGGTAGTAAGCCTAGTCTAGACCCTATATAACCTCTAAGTATAATACTTATAACTAGTTATAAGGGTATTTAAAGCTACCTTAACTTACTATATTAAAGAAGCTTTAAAAGTCTTTTTAATTAACCTCTACTTAATAATTAAGAAGTATTAAATATTAATAAGGTAGGAGGTAAGTAGGGTAGTAGCCTAACTCTAATATATATCTACCTAGGTAGTTAGAGTAGTCTTAGTAGTAGTAAAGAGGCTAAGGTAATAGTAGTAATATAGGTAATAATAACTATAATAATAGATAAGACTACTATTAATTAACCTATATAAAGGCTTTCTAGGTAAGTTT